CTACTACTACTACTACTACTACTACTACTACTACGACCACTACACTGCCACCGCCGTCGCCACCACCGCTACTATAACTACTTCCGCGCCGCTGCCATCACTGCTAACCCCTTCTCATTGCTACAAATCACAACGACGAAGACGAAGAACGACGACCCGTCCACTACCAGGAAATCTATTGCTACAGCTGCAGTGATTCTTTATTGCTACTACTGCAGCCATAACTATTGCTACCGCGACTTTGAGTACGGCTTATTGCAGGCCCCCTATACTTTGCTTCTTCGTTACATAGCTATCGCATGTCGCATTGTGTATCCCGCAGCTACAGCGTGCCAGCTGGTCTTCGACCTTTGCGTCTCAAAAACTGTGGCACGAGCAATGAGACCCTTTGACAGTCTGTTCAAGAAACACATTGTGGCGGCCTGGCCCTTCGCTCCACAGTTGACAGATTTGGAGCGTTGCCCTCCGCCCAAGCATTGCGATGGAGGTCGAGGGTGGTTTGCCAACAGGAAGCTGGAAAGATGAAGCATGTGTATTTGCCAGCAGTACACGCGGAACGCACACAGACTAAAGTTGGTCGGAGGAAAGCACGGCCGGAGGATTGCAAAAGCAAGCCCGGCAGAAGGCAGCTTGTTGTTGGAATTTTGCCGACATGGATGGACAACGGGTCCCTCTTGTGCTACGCTGCTGTTGAGCTGGGGCTGCGGAAGCGCACTTCGTGTGCGAACAAATTGCAATGGCAATGCTTTCGTTCTGGCAAGTTGCGACTTTCGAGCCGGGACTGCGAAAGCGAACTTTGCGCAAGGGCGAGTCTGTTTGCACACTTTTCTCAGCCCCACCCACAAGCTTCAAGACTGGATGACCATCAAAAGCACCTCGCTTCTCCAGCTGAACGCAAGTCAGGCGCATTTCGTTTGAGCAAGCAGCCGCTTCTGTGCATTTTGTTGGCCCTGCCACAAAATCCCTTTTTTGGTTTGCGTCCACTTTTTGTGGATGTCCCTGCCACTGAATCGAGGTACCTGCATGCTTTGCGGGACCTGCACTTCGCTTTTGGTGGCCCTGCCACCGAACCGAGGTGTCTGCAGACTTTTCACTCGGCACCTACGACTTGTTTGTTGGCCCTGCTGCAGAATTATTGCAAGTACCTGCGGCGTTTGTCTGCTTGCCTGCAAGTTGTTTTTTGTTTCCCTGGCCCTTTGCAACCATTCTTGGATGCAGCCTTGCTTCCTACGCACTGCGCCGCGCCCGTCCGCAAGCAGCTTTCGCAGCCTTCAAGACGTATTCCGCAAACGTGGCTCCAAAACTAGGCTCGAAAAAGGTGCTGCTTCGACGTCTCCTGCATGTGACCCTCCCAGAACTTACGTGTATTGAGTGTTGTGAAAACATCTGCGCGAAAGCTCTGCGATGGAGGTCGCAAAAGTTATTCTTCCCGCGAAGATGGTTTTAGCCGCGATGTCACAGGCAGATCCTGGTGCCCTGATCGGGGAGAAGCTCCGCAGCGAAGAGGTGCGCTTGCCGCTGCTCAAAGAAAGCTATCGGGGGGGTTCATTTGGGTGAAGTTTCGTGGTTGGGCGACCCTAAGGTGGAGGGAAAAACCCGTAAAATCCAAAAGTCATTTTCTGACCACGACAGAACCCAGTCGTTCTTGTGCTTGGCATCCGCCTTTGGATTCCTTGGGGTCTGCCGAACTGGAACGCAGGATGTGCTCTTCCTCCCCTCCGCCAAGCTCCGGGGATTCGAAGGATTATCCACATCTGCCAAGGACCTAGCCAGGCTGAGGCTGCGTACGTGTGAGCCACCAGTGCCCGGGTTGGTACGGTTAGGGAGAGTCCCAACCTCCGCCTTGTTAATTCTTTACGTTGATTGGGGCAGACTATTTTAGGATCAGGGTTTGATGATGACTCACATCAGCAGACACGCGAGACTCAGGAAGCTGAGATTGTGCTCACTATGCTGCCAATCCGGCTCACTTAGCCGGTAAGTCTATGGTTGAATCTGCATGACCTTGAGCCCAAATACGGGACTGCCGTGGAAAGAGGCAAGACATGGGCATGTGCACTAGGATGGATGACACTTTTGAGGCACCCAAAGAGCCTCAAAGATGATTATTCATGATGAGTTGCATGAAACACCGTAAGCGCTGAAAGTTTCGAGGAGAAGTTCACTGGGCAATGCCTTGTGGGAGTGATCCCTTGCACTTGGCACTTGGAGTCGGTTGTGCTGCTTGGCAGGTTGGCGCCCTATCTCCGAATCCCGCTCTTGCTGGGCTACCTCGGCACCCCGGAGCGCGTTGGGGCGCTGGCAGACGAGCGGCTTCAGGCGTGGCAAGACAGTGGAGTCTCCTTGGAGCTGGGTCCATCTCCGCACAATTGCCCTCTACATGTAGCAAGGGGAAGCAACCTCAAACGTAATTTCGAGAACCCCTCAAATGGGCTGGACTCAGTAAAAGTTCCAGAGCAGCACGTCACTCTTGATCCCATGAAAGTACGCTAAGCACAGAGGCTGCCTTTGAGTGGGTGCAGCTTGTACGGCTCAGGGTGTTCTGGAAGCATCAGTCTTTGAGCCTGGACCTTGGCGATCCACAACTTGCCCAACCGAAGTGCCCAAGGCACGCCAGTGCTCTGTTTGCACGGGGCCACGTGTGCCCCAATTACTTGACATTTTAGTGGTTGGGTTCTACTACTTGACCTACACAAACCGTTATGACCATGTGGCTAGAACCAACAGTGAAAGGTCATTCTACTACACAAACCTCTATGACCATGTCAACCAGTGAATGCGTCCGACTGCCGAAATCTCTGGTTGCTTCACGCAGGCAATTCCTGCAGGGAGCCAAGCCGTTTCCCCCAAGCCGTGAGAACATCTTCAGCTTCTCAGGCCCAGACTCGAAGTCACCTGGCCACCCCGTGTGGACTTCTCATCAATGAGTCTGCTCCTAAGCTCCGAAAGCTCCAGAACTGACCAATCCTTCTCATTCCTTCTCATTCCTTCTCATGCCCTCATATATTCCTCATGTCACACCTCATGTTTTGTCACACCGCGAGGCTTTGCAACGCTCCCCAAGCAACGCTGTGGGGCACCTGGCGCTTGAGAATCAGTGTGGGGGGAGGGTCCCGTGGGGTCGCGCCGCCTGCACCGTGCACCCCTTGGTGAAACTAATATTTGTTTATCTAATTGCATCATCGCGGGGGACCCCAAGCTAGACAACCCAGTGGTTGACGTTCAGAAAGGGAAGCCCTAGGTTTCAGTCCTGGAAAAACAGCCTTGAGCACCTCGAAGGAGTCTCTCGGTGTGAGGCGCGGGGCAGCTGGGCTTTTGCAGAGCACCTTGGAGCGGGACACTGGACGCGCCGCGAGCCTTGAGATCAATTCGGAGCCGTTGGAGACGTCTCCGCGTTTCTTGTGAGGCAGCAGCTGCACCCGTGGGCCTCATCTTTTTCGCACCGCGCCTATGTGGAATCGGAGTCGTGCTTCCGTGCAAAGGACCATTCTAAGCAAACAAGACAAGCAAACATCCTAGGACACGTGCTGATTTTGTGTCCCCAAGATTTTAGGCTCATGGCCCTGAAATCGGATTTGACAAGGATTTTTGCAGACACCCAATCCAGACCCAAGAAATCCCCTACCGGTCAATGATAAAGATCAGTGTTAGCATCAAAGGCACTCCTGTCAGAAGCTGCTCTTTGACCACTCTGAGGCTATTCGCCTGTGCTGCCGCATCCTGTTCTTTGCCGCAAACTCAGGGTGCCCCCTCATAGCCGTCATAGCCATAGCCTCATCTTGATTGAGACAAGGCAAAGGGGCTGATGGAGCCTGCCTCCTAGTGCACATCGTACTCAGATGTCGAATCAACGGCTCCTATTTGTTTATTTTTGGAAAGCCATGGGAAGGGTTGCTTTTGGGTCATCCCCAGTTCAGCAAGAGACGAGCGTGTGTGGGGCTAGTGTTGCGCCAGGTCGCAGAAAGCAAGCTCTTCAAAGGTGGCACTCACTTTGGGTGCTGGCCAACCCTGCTTGGAGGCAAGTGAGTGAGAATGTTTGGGTGTTGGCAATGAATTCATCGGCCAGGCGGCCTTGGAGCCTGTGCACAAGCAGTTGCTGTCGGCAAGGCCCGGGCCACTGGGTCCTAACCACTGGATCTTTCTTTGGCGTTTCTTTCAGGCGAAGTCTGCAGCGCTGGGCAACAGAAGCTGCCAAGCATCGCAAGGCCTATCTGAGATGCTGCGATGCCCTCCAACATTAGCGTTTGGTGCACCAGGCCAGCCTCGCATGCGCCACTTGGTGCCATTTGGCCATGCTTCAGTGGCGCCCTCATGCGACCGTTCGGTTCCACAATCGAATCCGCCGGAATGGAGGTCGAGCCTTGGCTGGCGCAAAGAGGCTTGGACTAAGTCTGAAACTCCAGATTCCTGGCCACGACGCATCGCCCCGATTGCTGGCAGGCGGAAGGTGAGGCGCCGGTGGCTTTGCTGGCAGCACAACTGCTGCAACTCCGGTATGTCGCCTGCCACGTGTTCACATTCGCGAATGAGTGTTTCAGCCAGGACGTCCATGCATGCGCTGCAGGCTGTCAGCTTAGTGACACGGGACAATCCGTGACACTTCCATGTGGGTCTGTCTTTTTTCAGGGTACACCTTGAAGGGAAACCAAAAGGAAAACCACCGTTGTGGGGCGGTCCATCCTTGAAAAAGACACAGCCCCATGTGAGCTTTCGCTCAGTTGGAGCCATCTGAGAGAAGCTCCGCGGGAAGCGAAACCTTCCCATCACCATCACCTCGTGCCAACTCAAGTTCCCTAGTGCGTGAGCCTTGGACACAGAGCATTTCCACAGTCGTCAAATACACAGAGCCACAAGATTCTCAAGATTCATGACGGAGCCGTTTGATGTCAAGGTCTCTTGAGCAGGAGCAGCAGCGATGCATTTCAGCCATGCAGTTTTCTATCCGTGTGATAGAGTCCAGCGCCTGGCAGGACCCACTAGGAGGAGCTCCAGCATGGGAG